GCCTGATGCATTAGTTGCAATACCTTCATGCCAGTGCAGGGCAGTAGCTCTGGAAAAAAACCAACTGTACTACTACCTTTTTCATGCTCATCACAGCCTTTGTTTAAAACTAAAACCAAGCCAAAAATAAAGAGGCAAAACAAATGAATGTGGTGAATTATTGATAAAGCTGTTTGTCTTTTACAATATTGCACACTAGTTTAAAATGAAAATATTTTTAATTGCATAATGGCTATAACTAGTAGTTTTACTCTTTGCAAAAAGAATTTACTTCCACATTTGCAAGTTTTGCAGTTTGAATATTCTCTTAAAGGTAAAACTGGAGAGGAAAACCACGTTTTTATTTTGCAGAAACAAGTTCTAGGAATGGATGAAGACTTTAAAACGCAGGCTCTTGACTCTGCTCTTCAAAGTCCGTCAGAGACATTACTTTCCATTCGACTGTTAGACTTTAAAACAAGTTTATTGGAGGCAATAGAAGAACTGCGTATAAGAAGGGTAAATGTGTTTATATTGTTTTTTATTGTTTCTTTGTCTTATTTCTGTCTCCTTTTCTGTAATCACAGAAGAATGCTGCATAAGTGTGGGTAAGCTTCATGCTGTATGATAAGTAGTTCACCAACCAGGATTTTTTTTTTTTTTAAGTGTCATAGGTTTAGGCAGTGTCTGTATTAGAAATGTCGCTGTAGACAGCACAAAGACAGCAGGGTTGCATGGGAGCAAATTTGGCTTTCCTATAATAATGTACAAAGTTGCTACAGTTGGTCACCAGGCTATTGACAAAAATGATCTACATTAAATTTTTGTATTTCATGGTAGTTCTTCTCTTTAAGAGCAGCCTTTGATAAGAAAAGGAAAGAAAGAATCCAAGTCATTGCCAAGTCCATCAGTCTTTCTCATTTAATAGATTGATTTACCATTTGCAAAAAAAAAAGCAGTAATTTTGACTTATTTTTGCCTGTTTACTTGTGCTTTTCAGAATTACCTAAGAGGTCAAATAGCTACTGTCATAACCAAATCCACTTTATTTCACCATTTTTAAATTGCTAAACTATTAAGCTAGAGCCCTACAATAATAGCATGTGAGTTTTGGGGGTGTGTGTTTTGTTTTTGAAATATGAATTGAATAATCTCATAGTACTAAGATAAAATTGTTTCTGCGCTGTTGAAGACAGCTATATTTTGCTGTGATTAATTTTTCAGTTATATTTTTCCGTGGCTACTTTTTCAGGTGTGTGTCTGTAAACATTTGTTTCTATTTCTCCCCTTAGTGTTTCTTAACTGTTGTATTTTTGAAAGACCTAAAGTATATCTTTCTGCATTTGATGAATTTGACCTGTTCAAAAGATGTGTATTATTACTTTAAAAATATTAGTATTGATGATGGGCTTGATTTATGTTTATTTTGATCTAAGTTAAATGCTCTAATCCTCTCTTTAAAAAACCGTAAACAGAAGAATGACTGCCATAAAAAAGAAATCCAAGAAAAAAGCTGCATGATTCTACTTTCTTGGTGCAGTATTGTTGAAATTCACCGTGGTCTGGTCCGTAGACTGTCGTTACAATGGTAGTGTTTAGTGTAGTCTAACTATTTTTGTGTTAAAAAGTAAAGTCTGAGGAATTTAACTTTTATAATAATTATTGGAGTGTACTTTTTCTTTATAAGAACTGTTAGCTGAATTCCATTTACATTGTTAACTCAACTTTGCCTTTTAATGCACTTGGTCAGAGCCTACAATGTTTAATTTAGAGTGCCATGGAGTTTCTTCTTTGGGGATTTTTTGGTGTTGTCTCTCTTGTATCTACTATACTATGAGAATAAGCGACTGTGATTTTTATAAGAGGTTGACTCAGGAGGGTGAGTATTTTTTTCGCTTAAAGGTGATTTTAGTTTCAAAATTGATGCTAACGCCAAGAGCCAATTCCGTAGTTAAGACGTGGCCCTCAATTTCTAAAACATCTGAGCCTTCCTTCATCCTAAAAAAATAAAAAATTACCTGTTTGTAGTTACAAATTTAAGTAATTTAAGTTAAAAAAAAGAAGTTAATTATTTTACAGATAGTCAATTTGAAATCTTAAAATATCCCTGCATGCGTTTTTGTTGTTTGCTTTGCTTTAACAATCAAATCGGGACTGCTTGCTTAGTATGTTTGAAAATGGGAATAGAAAACATTAATATTTTGAACAAGCAACAGTTATAATATAGCCATGCATAATGCCATTAATTTTTAGTTTTTTTAAGTAGGACTCTGTATGGATGTTTTTGCTTAAAAAAATGATGCTACGAAATCCTCTCCTGATTTTTGCTATGAATCTCTGACAAATCCAACCAGCACAGGGTTATTTTGTAAATTTATAATCGGTCCCGAGAAAGAGATAGTGCATAGACCAAAATACAGCACTAACTCAGAGAATTACAGTGTTTGTCTTGCACCATGGTCGTTTCTCCATGGACAAGAACGAAACACACCAATTTAAACCATATCATCTGCTAACTAAGAAAGTCAAGTTATAGTTAAAGCTCTGCTGGTTTCTTACTGCTTTTGCCACTTCTTTTCTAAGTTGCTTGTGAGGCTGACAGTAGACTGATAGCCGGATGGAGGCAGTATAGCCAAGTATAGTGGATTTTACTCTTAATTTTGTCTTTGACCTGTGGCTTGACCTTAGATGAGATATTTTACCTCTGTTTGCTTCTGTTTCTCTTCCCATTGTTGGTCTTGCTTGTCACTTAGACAGGAGTCTCTTCAGAACAGGAACTATCATGTATTTTTGAATTTAATAAACTGCCTTGAATGGTTGGTTCTCTGCAGTATAAATTCAAATTGATAAAAATAAATTTGCAGATTACATTATCTGTGCAAAGTTAGACAGATAAAAATTAAACTCAAAACAATTAAGTATTAAAATATTTTGAGACTTGATACAATCCATACTATTTTAAAGTAGAAATTTCATTTTTCTGAATATACTTATTTAAATAAATGCATTATTTCCAAGCGTCTGCCTGTTTTTTCACTTTTCTTGGTTAAACATATAGCTGTAGTTAAACTCTTAAAATAAAAATAATTTAGAGGAGTTGCCCATAATTCTTTTTTCTTTAATTGACTGTTCATCTGTTTTACAGATGAAATCCCAGTTAATGGTAGCGGTGCATGTTTATTCTGGAGAATACATTGCTTAAATTATTATATTGATACAGCTTCACTGTATTCCTTTAGGTGTTCATAGAGTCTTTGTTCTTAATATGAACTGACTTAGTATGAATATGTATGTAATTAGAAGCTACAAAAAATATTACTCTTCCCCCTGCCCTCCAGGGATTACTTCACACTCCAATAGTTTGAATGTCCTTCTATTTTTTTGCCAGTTTAGCTTTCCCACTCATCAAGCCCTGATCAGCCCAGCGATTCTTTTGTGGTGGATATCCCATTCACTTTGTTCCAAAATCTGCCAGCCTTGTTCTGCAGGCAGCTGAGCTCATTTTGTTGAGTAATATGAGACAATCCTTTTCTTAAGGGATAAATATGATCGATTTTGACAGTATCAAGTTGCGGCATAGTAGGTCAAATGGGAAGTCTTTAATGCTTCCTGAAGTACAATGCATATAGGACAACTGACATTAGGTTTAAAGATAATGATGACAAGGACAAAAAAGCACCTATGTTGTGTATTGAAATATTTTCTTTCTTGTACTAGATACAGAAAAACATCCTTAGCCAGAAAAGCTTGTAAACATAAGAAATCAAGGAAATTCTTCCTTACTTGCATAAAAATGTATTCTAATACCCTGGGGGTATGGGTATGTTTGGTAGCGGTTGAAGCAGTGGAGGTGTTGATTAGCTGAACACATGGAAGATAAATTTTAATGATGACTTTTAAAATTTTACTTATGTTTTTCTTTGGTGCAGAGGACAAGTTTCAGTGACCTTATTCCATACCTGAAGACAAGCACCTGTTGAGGCTCTTTCTGGCTTTGACTGGGACATCACAAAGTCTGGCTAATACTGTAGATTCTGTCATTTGTGCCTTGAGTTTGAGATTTGATACTTTGCTGTTTAGTAAAAATTACAAAGAATGAATTTTGCTCTTTTCTCTTTGGGCAGTTATGATATAGATTTAACTTGGTAGTGCTTATCTTTTAACTAAACTACTTTGCTTAAGTCTTGTCCAGCTCCCAGATTTTCTCACATTTCTCACAATGTAATTTTTCTTTACCATAAAATAAAACTATGTTGCGTTAAAGAACATTAGAGTTGCAAAGGGCATTGAGTTTACCCATAAAAACCTTTTATATGTTCAAATATTTTAATATAGGATTCTTTAAATATTTTCTTTTAAAACCCTGAAACCCACTCCCTGCCCCTGAATTTTGTAAATTGAAGCCATATTGACTTGTTATTGGTAGTTACCATCCTGCTTATGTCAGGCACTAAATAGAACATCTCCCTTGCCTGAGCCAAAGGAGTACATTGACATAGCAGGTGGTATTACAATCAGCCACAGGAAGTGGGGGTGAGATGTCTGATTTGCCAGGGAATTTCATATCTCTGCTCACAGCACAGGAATGCGGGAGCTTGAGACTTCTGGAATCGGTTCCATGTTGTGGACAGGAATGTTCTTTAAAGGCTAGTTGATCCCATCATTTTGCTGCTGTTGAGTCTAGTTTCCTTCCCTGCCCCTAATGCTCTTTTCCCCTCTTTTTGCTTTCCCTGTTTTTCCTAGTTTCTGTCCCTTTCTGTCTTCTGTTCTGTCTCCTGTTTTGATATAAATTAGGCCTCCCTTTTGTGCTTACCCACTGTCCTGCTGATGGCCAGTGAGCAGTCATTGAGAAAGAAAATGCAAGGGTATTCACTTACTTATTTGCAAAAAGAGACAAATCCTGAGTCGTGTCTGTTGTCATGACACAGGCATTATGGCTCTCACAACACTACACCTGGAATTTTTTCTGGTTGCTGTTCTCGACAGCTGTAGCTCACCCTAGTTCTGCGGAGCCGTATGTGCTCTTCCTTTCAGATAGATTTGAGCAAGTTTACCTCAATTCCTCTTACTCTGCCTTTGCTATGGCTTTGGCTATTCTAATCCAAGTTCTTCAGCACAGTGGCCTATTTCTAGGTTTTCTTAGAGGAAGGACATGAAGGAGCTTTGCTCACCCTTAACTAAAATGTACTTCTGCTTTCTGGCAACTATGAAGATGTTTGCACTGCACAGCGTAGCAGCATATAGCTCATTGTGGGTCAGGACACCTGAGCTACTCTGTTCCAGAATGGAAGAGATGTACGTAATTGTGCAGAGCTAACTCGTCTGTTTAGCAGTGTTTCACAGATAAGATGGGCAAGTGGAGTTCAGTATTGAGATGAAAATTGAAAGTGGCAGTATAAGGTTAGTATTTGGAAATGTCACTTGGGCCCAAAAGGCAAACTGGTTTTTGAGATATTATGTGAAGAAAGTTGATGAAACCATAAACTTACTTATCAGAAGGAGCACAGCAGAAGGACTAA